TCTCTCATTGCTGACTACGGCCATTTTGGTCTCGGGTCGATACCAAACTCTTATCAGAGAAATCTGATACAAAGATTTCCCCCACCCACCCCATTTGGCCACTTTCCTTCTTATCCTAGGTGCATTAATGTTGTCTGAGCAAAGGATTTTTGGTTTCAAGTAAGCAAAGTTATCTTTTCAATCTTTTGTGACTGTTTCTCTGGTGAATACACCTCTTACCCATAGATGTGAGAGGCATATGATTGGTTTCTCCAAATTTTTAAAAATAGACTTGTCTTTAAGATTAAGGTCACATATCCATTAAGAATGTATTGTGGAGTGTGACTGACACTCCACAGGTTGGTCTAAACCTAATTTCTGCCAGACTGCTTTCCAGTTTTCCCAGCAGTTTTTTTTAATCAAAGAGGGAATTATTTCCTAGGTAATTTATTTTCCCACTTTATTAAACACTGGATTATTGAGTTCTGAATTGTTCTCAGTCTCCCTCGTCTGGTCTGTTTCATTTATCTCTCTATTCTTTCACCAATACCATGATGACCTGCTGCTTTATAAGTTTGAGATCTCTCGTCCCCCTTTATCCTTACTTCATTTCATCATTTCATTTTATATTCTAGACCTTTTGTTTTTCCAGATAAATTATCATTTAGTTCTGTAAAGCAATTTAATTGGTTTAGGATTAAAACCATAAATTAATTTTGATAAAATTCTTATTTTTATTATATTGGCACGGCCTAGCCATGAGCACTGAATATTCCTCTAGTTATGTAGGTTGCTCTTTCTTTCTCTAAGGACCACTTTGCAATTCAACCTATACAAGTCTTTTGTGTGCTTTGGGAAGTTGGTCCCCAGATATTTATGCATGTCGTATGCATGTTATTTGGAATGGAATTTTCCTTTCTGTTATTGCTTCTTCCATTTTTGTTATCATATGGAAATGCTGTTGATTTAAGGATTTTGTAGCCTGCAACTTTGCTGAAGTTTTAAATTTTCTTAGTATCTTGGCTGGTTCCCTAGGGTTTTCCAAGTAAATCACCACACCATCAGCAAGCAGGGATGGTCTGTTTCTCCTCTTTACCTATCTTTATTCGCTTTCCTCTTTCTTGTCTTACTGCTAGCATTTCCAGAACTACATCAATAGTGGGGAGCGTGAGCATCCTTGCTTCAATTTATTGGAAAAAGTTCTAGTATATCCCCATTGCATATGATGTTTACTTTCGGTTTTAGATAGATACTTTTTACATTTTCTAAAAGGTCACTCTATGCCTATACTTTGTATGGTTTTTAGCATAAAACAGTGTTGTACTTTGTGTCAAAGGCCTTTTCTGGATCTATTGAGATGATCATACACTTTTTAAATGTTTTAACTTTTAATATGATTAACTATGCTGATTGTTTTTCTAATATTGAATCATCTTTGCGCATTCCTAGTATAACTTTCCTCAATTACGTGATCACCATGAATGATTTCTTGGATTAATCACTGTAGTCTAATAGGTTTTTTTAAACATATACATACCACGCTCAGATAATTATTTTTATTTCTTCCAATTTTGCTGTGCTTTTACTTTCTTTATTTGCTATTTTATTAATTTGATTTTCTGCTCTGTTCTTTTTAACCAGATTAGCTAAGGGGCTAGAGTTCTTTCTTTGATTTCCACAGCACAGCAATTCTCAAAACTTTTGGTCTCAAGGTCCCTTTATACTCCTAAAAATTGTTGAGGACCCCACCCAAAGTTAAGGATAGTCTGTAATGACCAACAGCATAGCACTTCTACAGAATACCTCAAGGTTCTGCCCCACATACTCATTATCTAGTGCTCTAGGAGGTAAGCAAGGTAAGGGAGGGATTATTATCCCCATTTGCTAGATAAGAAAACTGAGGCCCAATGACTTGCCTTGGGTCATGAAGTGAGCTAGCAGAAGTGGGTCATATCTATAAATATTTACTGTGTTATAGACATTACAATGTCTTAGTATGAAAATAAGTTTGGACTTTATAGGTGCTGGAAAGCTCCCTGGATCACACAGAACCACTGCCTTGGCAATGACAGTCATTAGTAGGCACTCTAGTTTCTGATCAATGAACTGAATGAATCGTAATTGTGAGTCTTTCTCGTGGGGACTCTACAGCATCTGCAGGCTTTATGTACACTAAGATTAGGTAAGCAAGTTCAACAAACAATTAAGCACCTGTTTTGTGTGTGGGGAGGGTCACTGTGCTAGGCACTGGAGGTAGAAGTGGGGGATTCAATGATTATAAAAGACAGTGGCCTTCTGTCCTCATGGGGCTTATAGACTAATAGGAGAATAAGACACCAACATGATACATTAACTATGTTGATTATCTTCCTAACATCAAATCATCTTTGCATCCCTAGTATAACTCTCCTCGATCACTTGATCACCATGAATGATTACTTGGATAAATCACTGTAGTCTGATGGGTTTTTTTTAAACATATACATACTATTCCATAACTATGATGCATATACACTGTGATACTATGATACACGCTATTATATAAGCACAACAGGGACAAAATAGTAGTGTGTGTGTGTGTGTGTGTGTGTGTGTGTAGTATTACTTACTGACCACTAATCCTAAAAGGTTTCATGGAGGTAGTTGGCAGGTGAGTCAAGCTTTAAAGGCTAGGTATAGATTTAACACGTAAAGAGTTGGAGGGAAAATATGCTAGGTATAAGGGAAAGCATGAGCAATTATGTGGTGGCAGTAGTAGGGTGTGATGGTGTGTTTGGAAAATCAGTTTGTCAGGAACAGGGAGTATGTGAAATGTGATGATAAGACATGAAGCTAGAAAGGTGATAGGGTGGCACCTGACTGACAAGGCCCTTCGATGCTTGGCCAAGGAATGGGAATTTTAACTTGGGAAGTGACAGCAGGATAAACAACCAAGTCTTAGGTTTATTGTTTTGACAATCATATAATGGTCAGACTGGAAGATGAAAAATACAAGATCTATACTCTTTTTGACTATTAAAAAAGCATTTGGTTCAGTAGAGTAAAATTCTGCCCCCTTCACAAAGTAGCTTCCAGGCATATTTCAAAATTACGCAAGATTTCCTTAAAGATAGAACAGAGATAACATTTTTAATGACCTTTTGATCATTAATATCAGGTAAAGAATAATACATGGAGTCGTAGATTTACCACATTCATTTGCCAATGTTATGAGGTGACTCAGTATAGAATCCAAGAGGGATTTCCCAAATCAATCTGGATTATGTGCCCCAGTCCCCTTCCCCACTCCCATCCTCAGGAACATAGCAAAGGGTTTTTTAGGTCATTAGGAGGTGGAAGAGTAGGTACACTGTTCAGTCACTTTCTCAGCAAGCCCCTCCCTGGGGTTCTCATCCACAACCCACTCCCCCTACTGTGAATGCCTTCTTGGGTAACCTATAATAACCAATAGCACTTCTATAGAACATCTTATTGTTTTTAAGCCCCCCACCTCCCAACCCCAGTTACCTATCTTGATCATCAGAAGTGCTCCAGGAGGTAAGCAAGGCTGAGATTACTATCCCCATTTGGCAGATGAGAAAACTGAGACCCAACAACTCACCTAAGAGGTCACAGAGTGAGCCAGGTCTCTCCTGTCTCTCTATTCTGTCTTTCACTTAAAGAGTCAAGAGTCAGCCTTACCTGCTAAGGTGTTAGGTGAAATGCTCAATTCTATAAACATTTATTACATTATTTGCTTCATGCGGGGCATCTTGCTTCACTGCTTCATCATCAAGTGGGAGGACCCAGTACAGTGCCTGGCCCAGAGGGATTTAATCAGCATTTATCACTTAGGAGGCAGCTAGGTGATTCTCAAAGGCGATATATCCCAGGAGAATGCATGCTTAGCAGCTCCTACTGGGCTGGAAGGGCTTGGACAATGGGGCCTGGATGATGTGTCAGTCATGGGCTCACTGAGTAGAAGCTCACCACCAACTCTTTGGTGAACTTTTCTAGCCAGAGGAACTTGAGAAACCATCAGTTACGGCATGGAGCATTGATGATTTGCATAATAAATTAAAAGACTTGCAATTTCTTATTAGCCCCATTTTAAAGGTAAGAATACCTCGTCTCAGAAAAGTGAAAGTGAAATTCACATGGCAAGGGATTGCTAAAGCCAGGACATCCTGACTTGGACATTCCCTTTCGACAGCACCTCGCTCCCTCTCAGGATTTCTGCAATGAGGAGTCACCCTTCAGGTACTCGACCTTGACAAGGTGGAAGACCACCGTTCTGAAGGCAGAAGTCAACCTGAAAATAATGGTTCATTCTTTGTTTCAGGACCACAAGTGCAGTGCATAGAGCCAGCATCTGGTTGAAATGTTCCGTGGACCTTACCAACGTCCACCTTTCTAGCTCTTTCAATGAATAGGGAGCTTGAATGGGTCAGTTTGGTGAGACAGGGAATCAACAGCCCCTGAAACTGACAAGGTGGAGAGGGTAATGAATTTCTCCCTCTCACTTCTTGCCTGTTGAATCTGTGACACTCTAATGTACTTAAATGTGATATTGGGTTATTGTAGGTACTTGTGTTGGCATCTTCTCCTGTCAGACTGTAAGCTTCATGAAGGGAGGGACCGGAACTCATCCAAATGTTAGGATGGTAGTGGGTTCTCAGAGCAGCACAGTGTGTAGTCAGAACACCCAGGCTTCTCCAACAGGATGTAAAGAGGGATTGAGTCCAGAAGGGGGTGGGCACTGGGGGAAACTTGGCCGCCGAGCAGGATGGACACAGCTGGACTCTGTGTCTCTCTAGCCACATGAGACCAACCTAAGCTGAGTTTGGCATCCCCATCCTTCTCATACCAGGAGCTTCTGTGGCTCTTAAAAAGTCAGGTATTCGATGAACCAAAGGAAGGCGATGGGGCTCAGGAAGGCCACCCAGTCTGGCACTGTCGGAGCTGAGGCTAAATACTAGGAGGAGAGGGGAGAAAACCAGGGTCAGGGGGGTGGAAAGAAGGTGAGGAGAGGGGGTCCTTACCGAGCTGTCTCCGGATACAGTCACGCCACTGCAGGCCCAGCAGGTCCGGGTAGATGTCTGGGAGCTGCCGGAGGGCCAGGAGCTTAAGCATGCGGGAGGTGCAGCCGTCAAGGGCACAGTCCCGTAGTGCCCGCTCCTCTGACAGCGTGGTAGGGCGCAGCTCGACCCGGTGCTCCTGGAGCACGTGGTCCACTGAGGACCCCGGTAACCGCGGGAACAACTTTTCCTTGACCAGGTAGATGGGCACAAAGATAGCTCCGGCACGCACCACGTGGGGGAAGGGACACTTGTGGGTGAAGAGGAACGTCTCTAGCTGGGCCAGCAGCTCCGCCAAGAGCCCCTTCACCCCCGCGCAGCTCAGCCACGTGTCTCGGGCCCGCCCCTCAGCCACGCGGGGCCTGCTCTGGCCCTTGGCTGGGGAGGACGACGGAGGCAGTGGGAGAGATGGACTCTCTTCGGCCTCCTGCAGCCATTCCCGGAGCCGTTCCGGCGAGGTGTGGGCCACGAAGCCAGAGATGGCGTCACACAGGGACATGTGGAGGCCTGTGAAATGTTGCTCGGTGCCGCCCACTTGGGTGGGAGCAGCCTCCGGACCCCTGCTGGCCTTGCCTATGGCGGGGGCTGGCTCAGACGCAACAGGAGGCGCGGGAGGCGTAGGCTCTGGCAGAGTCACATTGAAGCAGGTTACCTGCAAGGGCTGGGTGAGGAGCTGGAGGCTGGCAGACTGGGCAGGAGCAGGGACAGGGACAGGGGTAGGGGCAGGGACAGGGGTAGGGGCAGGAGCAGGTACACAGGCAGGGGCAGGTGCAGGAGCAGGGGCAAGGGAGGGGGCAGGGGCAGGGGCAAGGGTGTGTGGGGGCGCTGGCCGGAGGATCTTGAACTTGTGGAACATGAAGGCCACGGAACTGTGGAAGCTAGTCCTTGGGGCAGTCTCAACCACGGCGGATACCAGGGGAGGGGGAGCAGGCAGCCTGGGCTGCTCCTCCTGGACAGCCTGGTGAGTTTCTGCCCCATCTGTGGATGGCACAGGCTCAGTGGACAACCCCTGACTTAGAGCCCCCTTGGAGAGCTCAGCCAACTGCTTCTTGAGGCTCAAATCCAGTGCCACTTCCTCCTTGGGCGGGCATTGGCTGCTAGCATCGGCCCCAGGCTCCATCCGGGGCTTCCCACAGGGAGGTAGCAGAAGTACCCCGCCCTCCTGGCCGTGCCCATCCTTGCCCTCTGCTTCCTCGGGCAGCTCACTGAATGCCTCAGGGTCTGCAGCTGGGCAGGGCCCCAGGAGGGAGCATGTGGTGCTGAGGGGCGGGGCCTTGGGCAGGGGGAGGTCAGGCACCTTCTCACATCGATTGTCCAGGTAGTCCCTGTAGGGCGCCAAGCTGAAGACATTGTTGATGATGGGCATGGGCGGGGAGCAGGGGGGCGCAGTGCCCTCGGTCTGCTTGAGGCCTTGCGGGTGCTCCCTGGGCGAAGGTGGCAGATTCCGGGAACCGCTGCCAGGTGGAGTCCTGGGGGCAGGGCTGTCTGGAATGACAACAGGTGTAGGGGAAGGCTCTTCCACTCCAGCCCTGGGTCTGGCTTCTTCCTTACCAAAGCTATACAACCACTTCTTGTCCTGCGATTCTTGCCTGGGCTTCTCAGCCTTCGCAGGGTGGGAGACAGGACAAGAGGCCTCCCTTTGGGAACCTGCATTCAGGTTCGGCCCTCCACTTCCTGCATGCTGACACACGAGCTGGAACGCACTGTGCTGATTAGCTCCCAGCTTGCCCCGGGGAGCATCCTGGGCAGGTGATGCCCCTCCAGCCCCCAGGGCCGGACCATAAAGCGACAGGCTGTCCTGAGGTGCAAAGGCATAACCCGGCGTCTGAGAGATGAAGTCCAGCTGGCACTTGGGGGTGGGTGGCAGCTCAGGCTCATGGGAGGCAGCTGTCCCAGCCTTCAGGCCAGGGGAGCTCACCTGGATGGGGCCCGTGGGATAGGCACAGCCTTCCAGCTTGGCAGAGGGGACACAGGGCCCACGGGTGGTCTGCTGCTGTGGGTAGGTCCCGGGCAGCCCGCCTCCCCTATAGCTGAAGTTCTTGTAGGGGCTGGGAGATTGCAGAGAAAGCACAGAGCTGTTAGGTTTCTCTGGGGGCGGATATCCTGGGGGGTATAGAAGAGGCTGCTCATGCAGTGCTAGAGGGTAGTGGGAGGGTGCCCGCTCCTGGTAGGTAGGCACAGGGGGTGGTGGCAACTTTGTCCAGGAGCCCGGGAGCCCCTCATCTGGTTTCTTGTGCCCTCCATATGGCGGAGGATATTTGGAGTCCAGGAAGAGGGCACTCCGGATGGCACGGTACTTGTCCAAGGCCACCTGGTAGGATGAAAGGTTGGCCATGGCCTCCTTGCCCGACACCCCGCCTGGAGGCAGAGGGAGGAAGGCACCCTCCAGGTGCTGACCTTTGCTGGGTGTCGAGGCCAAGGAGCAGTGGGAGTTTCCTTGAGGCAATAAAGGGGCAGCAACCGTCCAGTCCATGTCTGGCGGCCTCTTGGTCCCACTCTCAGTCCCTGGGGTCCCCAGGGCCAAACATGACGGTGGCCCATAGCCAGGATCCATGTAACACATGGGGTTCCGATATACAGGCTTGGGCGCTGCCAGCGGGGCACAACCCGGTGGCCCTGGCCCCTTCATGCCCAGGTATGGAGAAGCCCGGGTGGCCTGCAGCAGTGGGTCACGGTGGTCTAGATGTCCTGCCCACTTCTCTTGGGCCAGGAGCAGATTCCTCATTGCGTGGTCCCGGCCCTTCTCCACCGGCTGAACGCTCTCTGCTTCTCGCTGGTACAACAAACAGTTCATGAGCATGCTGTCCGCCCTCAGGGACTGCCCAGCCACTACACCGCCGTAGGACATGTGGGGATTCCATCCAGCCAAACCGTCATGGCCCACTTCAGGGCTCCCCACGGGGTAGGTGAAATAGCTTCCCTTGTAACCCAGGTGGCCCTCACTTCCCGGGCCGGGCAGGGATCCTGACTTGCAGATCCCTGCGGGTGGCCTGTGCCCAGCATCTGCCTCAAGGAGGGCCAACTTGTTGTATATCATGGGGTCCAGAGGCCCAGGGGGCCGCTTTCCTGTCATCACTGCGTAGGGCCTAAGCCTACTGAGGACCAGCCGCTCTGAAAGAGAAAGAACAGAGACAACTGTCAGGGGCTATCTATCAGAAGTTCATCCTACCAAATGGGTGCACATGCCTACCTCACCATGGGCAAGTAGGGGGTGTAGCGGACAGTGAGTTGGGCTTGGACCAAAGTCAGGAATACTTGAGTTCAAACCCTGGCTGTGTGACCCTGACAAGTCACTTATACGCTTTCAGACTCAATTTCTTCATCTGTAAAATGGATCCAAAGATAACTTTAAGCATTTTGCAAATGTGTGCTATTATGATTGCCAACAGGAAGTATTTCCTGAGCCCCTGCTGTGAGCCTAGCAGGTGAGTCAGTCACTGGGTGGGGTAGAATGTCAGAGTTGGAACAAGACTTAGGGACTCTTGGTGGGGAGGGGTCATGGAACCCTTTGGCCCTCTGGTGAAGCCAAGGATCCCTTCTCAGAACCAGGATTTTAAATGAATCAAGCAAAATAAGCAGCATTAACAAGATACCCATGTCATTATCAAAACGTTTATAAGACACTGTCACGGTTATCAAAATTTTAAAAACATTTCGTGGACCCCAGGTAAGTATGTCCAAGGGCCCTGTTCACATCATTGTGATCAGTTAACCGGCGCTGCATAAACGCACAATCAATTCTACCTGAGGCCCTACAGATCTGTCAGTCACCACTTCTGGCTCAGTGAAATGCCATTCCATTGACACACCACTATGTGCTTGTCTGTTCCCAAGTCGATGGGCGGCTACTTTTCTGCCAGTTCTTGGCTATTATGGCAAGAGCAGCTCCAGGAGTCAGGTGTGTGGAAGAGGAAAGAAGTAATTAAGCCGTGCCACCTCCTTCAACTTCATTTCCCATCAGGGGCTCAGCTTGGTTCAAGTCCAATAACATCACTCCCCTCTCCTTGAGTAGCCTCTGGTGCCCCACCCCCATCAGCTTCCCTTTATGTGTTATCTTCCCCCAAGAGACTGTAAGCTCCTGTAGGGCACTGGGTCTACAGATTCATGTCTTTCATTAAAAAGGAGACAAAAGAGGGCAATACTTATTGATGGCAATTGGAGTTACCTGGGGATTGAGTGTCAGAGCCAGAACTAGAGCCCAGATATTCTGCAGCCCAGTCTAGGCTTCTCTGCATGTGCCAGTTTCCAAGAAAGAATCTCTGCCCTTAGCACAGAAGCATCTGGGTTGGTCCTCAGAGGTCATCTAATCCATTTCAAATACAAATAGGGAGGCAGCTAGGTGGTGCAGTGGATAGAGCACTGGCCTTTGAGTCAGGGGGACCTGAGTTCAAATCCAGCCTCAGACACTTGACACTCACTAGCTGTGTGACCCTGGGCAAGTCACTTAACCCCATTACCTCACCAAAAAAAAGTAGGAATCCCCCATGGACCATGGAGCCATTGCTTAAAAAACATGTCTCTAAATTTTCTTGATGGCATGCCCTAACAGTAAAACTTTTTTGCACCCCCCCCAAGATATAGGTGTACTTAGTAATACTACACACACACACACACACACACACAAAACTGTTAACTAATAAATATGTACGTCAGAAAACACAAAAATAGAAATAAAGGATGATGTAATGATGAAATAAGTTTTGATACTAGAATAACTGGAATTTTTTGAATAGGGATGTGACACTGTGAGAGCTGAGGCTAAGAAAACCACTTTGGCAGCTTCAGGGAAGATGGGATGGGAAGACTGGAGGCAGAGAGGCCAATCTGGAGGTGGGAGATGAGGCAGCACTGACCTAAGGTAAGGTGGTAGGCTAGAGAAGACAATGGATATGAGAAATGTGTTGTGGAGCTGTTCCACGTGTTGTTGCATGTTGTTTGACACTTTATGACCTTGCTTGGGGTTTTCTTGGCAAAGATACTGGAGTGGTTTGCCATTTCCTTCTCCAGCTCATTTTACATATGAGGAAACTGAGGCAAACAAGGTTAAATGTCTTGCCCTGGGTCACACAGCTAGTGAGTGTTGAGGCTGGATTTGAACTCAGGAAGATGGATCTTCCTGATTGCCAGCCCTATGTGCGCTCTATCCTCTGAGCCTAGGTAGTAATGAGAAAATTGGACAACTGACTTCGATTTAGGGGAGAGTGAGAGTGAGGAGACAAACAAATTAGGCTGTGTGTACATGTTTATTTCTCTCAAATTTCAAAATTCTCTTTCCAAATTTCATTGGGAAATGAGCTCACTTTGGGGCCAGGCTGCACAGATTATATACCCATATAGCAAGGAAGTGTTCCCTCTCCTCACTCAGGATGCCTATGTCTTTTGTCAGTCAAAATTATAGTTTCCATAGAACAAGAGAGTGCCCCCAGGATGTCTGGTCTCTGTCAGCCATGAACAAGGGAATGTCATAAGAAGAGTGAGCATCACCATAGGATAGTGTCCATAAAACGACAAGATAAGAGAAATGCCATTAATCAAGATCGTGTCTGGTTTAAGGCACTTGGTCTTTACCAGTTATAAACAGGAGAATGCTCCCAGTCAGCTTAATTTTGGGGTTCTCTCTGAGAAAGGGGCTCCAGGGGGTCCCTCAGGAGTCATTAGCCTTTTCCTAGTTCTAGAGCTACAAGGAGAGAACACGTGCATTGGAAAGCTGTCTGTGTGGCTACTGCAGTTGCCTGTGGTGGGGGATGTGACCCATGTGCTCACTCTTTGACTAGCTGACCACTCACCGGCTTTGGAGATCATTGGCTACAGAACTCCAGGGATAGGAAAATTATTTTTCTTGGTGGCACAGTGGATAGAGTGCTACTCCTGGAGGAAGGAAGATCAATACCAGACCCTTACCAACTGTGTGACCTGAGCAAGTCACTTAACTGCTATCTGCCTCAGTTTCGTCAACTGTAAAATGGGGATAATAGCCCCTACCTCCCAGGATTAAGTACCATAACTATTACTACTGAGTTATTCTATTATACTCCAAGATATTTCTAATTACTAGAAAGTTTTCCCCCTTATTTATCCAGTCTGAAATTGCCTCTCTGCCATTTCCATATGTTACTTCTACTTCTGTTTTTTAGGATCTGGCAGATAATTCTCACTAAACCATATGACTAAACTGTGTCTCCCTTAATCAGAGAGCATCTGTACACAGAAGGCATTTAATAATTGCTTAGCTAAGTTGCATGATGAATTAAGCATTTCATAAATGCTTGTTGATCCCTTCCTGGTCATCAACTTTTAAAACTACAGTGTGGGGGCTGCTAGGTGGCACAATGGATAGAGTACTGGCCCTGGAGTCAGGAGGACCTGAGTTCAGACACCACTTGATACTTACTAGCTGTGTGACCCTGGGCAAGTCACTTAACCCCAATTGCCTCGCAAAACAAAACAAAAAACTACAGTGTGGTTATACTAGATAAGTCATTAGTCCTGGGAATCAAGAAGACCTGGGTTCAAGTCCCTCCTCAGAGTCATTAACTATGTGACCCCAGGGAAATAACTTAACTTCTCATCCCTTTTTTGCCTAAACAAGGGGTTTGATGGCCTCCCAGGTTCCTTCCTGCTCTAAATTTATACCCTTTCAAGCCTAAAAGACAAAAGCCTTTTCATTTTACACTAAAAAGTTCCATGCTCCATCCATCATTAAGAAAAATCTTTATTAAGCATCAGGATTTTCATTTTGTTGAGAGACTACTAGGTGGGTGTTGTAGATATGGTGACAGGAAGACTCGAGATCCTACGATTGATCAATTGAATTAATCAATGGATTTCACTTATCAATAAATCATCAAGTATCTATTATGCTTGGCTTTGGGCTGAATGCTGGGGATAAAGACAAAACAAATGACTTGAGCATTCCCAATGGCAGGTTGAATTGACTGCATATCTGGGGCTTCTAATTTCAAGATCAGACACAGGAAGGCCCCTTTTCTGCCTCCGGGAACTCAGTGCCCCAAATGAGAGAACTGGGGATACTACAGTAACATATGATGCTGCAATGCCAGCTCTTCTGATCATCAGAGCAGCTGGAGTGGAGGTACCCAGGGTAAGATGCCCAAACCAGATGAATAAAAGTAAAACAACACAGGTGAATCAGAGGAAGAAGAGGAGTTCCGAGGGAAAAAAGATTAGAAACTAGGACAAGGCAATGAGGCTTTGTTCCAGGGCACTGACATTGAGAGCATTTGTAGAGACAGCTGAGCTCAGCCCAGAGAATCACTAGTTGGTACAAGAAGGTAGCAGGCATCCTGGCTTCTTTCTCCCCTGTGCAGTTTTGGGGTACTGAATCGGTCTTTAAAAAGCTAATGTAATGGCTCATTCTGTGGAGGGAGCCAAAATCATCAGGCAGGCTCTGAGGAGGGAGAGAGCAGTGCAGGCTTGGAGAGGCCACCTAAGGATTTTGGGAGCCCAGTGAGGAGTCTCGCCTGGTCTGACTGGAGCAAAGGGTTCATGCAAGGGAGGAATGTGAGGAAAGGCCCAGTTGGAAGGGGAGGGGGGCATAGGGGAGAGCTGCAGTTTGGGGAAGAGCCTTGGATCCCAAAGGCCCAGAGCAGGGAGGTCAAGGCGACAGGCAACAGCAAGAATTTCTTGGCCTACATAACAGAGTCACAGTTTCCCATATAATTTCCTGTATAATCCTCTCTGTTCCGTGAATATGGAAATGCTCCAATTAGTTGATGTTTGTTAAGATCAGAATTTTTTTTTAAAGGGGGGTTAAAGAAAAGTCATGATTGAGTTGCATCGTACAGGAAGTCAGGGATTCCTCAAGCTTGGGAAGAGAAGGCATTCCAGGCACAGGGAATGGCTCAGGGAGAGATGAACAGCTGTGCCAAGTAAACAAACATGTATTAAATGCCTACTGTATGCTAAGTGATGGGGATACCAAGAGAGGCAAACACGGTTCCTGTTCTCAAGGAGCACAGTGTCTAATGAGGGAGACAACGTGCAAACAATTACATACAGACAAAATATATACAGAAGTGGAGACAATCTCAGAGGAGAGGGGAAGGAAATAAGCATTTAGTGCCTACTATATACACCGGACACGGTTCCTT